TAAAGGGATCCCAACTCTGATGAAATTGTCTCTGTAATGAGAATCATTGGTGTTTTAATACATGATTAAGATTATAGCAAGGGATAGTAATTAAGGATAAAATGTGGGAGAAGGGAGGACAATCTCTTCCCATGCGATTAACTGCCTCTGAAAACCCATTGGAAGGTCAGATTTGGGTCGGTTCCAACTTGATGGTACACAACAAGAACAAAGGATAAAATACAGTGGAATAATGACTTTATTGTATTTCTTTGCATTCTAAGAGCTTTAGTAATAATATTCTAATGTCAGATATTTAGGTATTTTTTTCAATTTAGTATGTGGTTTTGTTGTTACCAAGTGCTGTTGAGTCATAGGCCACTCATAACAACCCTATGAACGAAAGTCCTCGACCCTTGCATGACATTCATCCTTTCTCCAGCTTCATAGGGTTTCTGGAGACAAGCTATTTAAGGAAGTGGATGCCATTCCTGCTTCCAAGCTTGTTTTAACAGGGGAGCGCCACCAAACACTGTCCACCATGGGTAACCGTTACTAGCATTTACAGTGTTTAGCTTCACAGCAACCACAAGTTACCTCTGTATGGCAAGTGGATACACCAAGGCTATACAACCTACAAGAATGTTTGACAAAAAACAATTAAGAATTGGCCTGAGGGCCGTGGATTAAAGTCACCCACCTTTGGCTTGGTAGTATCACTTTCGGTCCACTAGGCCAACTGATCTCTCTCTGTATTGTTAAGTGCCGCCATCGAGTCATAGGAGACTCGTAGTGATTCTATGAACAAAAGTCTTCGACCCTTGCATGACTTTCATCCTTTCTCCAGGTTCATAGGGTTTGGAAGCAGGAGTGGCATCCACTTCCATAAACAGCTTGCCTCCAGAAACCCTAAGAACCTGGAAAATTTAGTATGTAGCCATGAAAAATGGATTTGTTGCTCTAAAATTATCAGTTCAATAGGAGACATCACTTCTTCCCAAATAGTGAGGGATTTACATAGTTATATATTTAAAATCAAACCAAGAAAATATTTCTTATAAATAAATTTTTTAATAATACTAATACTATTTTAGGAAATACTAAAATGAAGCTCTTAATGTCAAGACATGCTTCCTTTCATATTATTTCAGACTAAATGTATTTATTCCATATATCTTATGTAATAATACCTTGTTTAATTGAAAGCCACCTTTTGTAAAATATTGCTATTGTGTGAATGTAAGATCACTTATATATCCAAAATTTTCATTCAACTTGAGCACAATTTGGTTGTAAAAAATTAAATCACAGTTTTGTTTTACATTCCATATATTTTTCAGATGCATTATGATACAAGGGAAATGATATATTAAAACTAGCATAAGAATTATTTTTTTAATTAATTTTCATGAAAGTTTACAGAGACTTTAGATTTCCATTAATTCATTGTTGCACTTTTCTCCCTGCCCACCCCTTTCCACAGTTCTCTCTTCTCTTTGAAAAGTAAAAGAAAAATTCTTTCATTGTTCTACAATCCCACCCCCTCAGTCCACTCCACTATGCAGCCTTTATTCTGGACTCCTGTCATAACAATAATACCTAATCATATATCCCTTTTAACTCCCTCGTGTTTCAATGTGGTATACATTATTTATCCCCTCTTTCTCAGTCTCCCGCCAACCCTGATGCCACACCTCTTTTATAACAGTGGCACTATGCAACACTTATCTTTTTGTGACTGAGATATTTCACTCAGCATAATATCCTCCAGGGTCACCCATTTTGTACAATATTTCATGAATTCCTTGTTTTTCAATGCAACATAGTATTCATTGTGTGAATATACCAGAGCTTCTCTGTCCATTTGTTTGTTGATGGACACTTGGGTTGTTTCCAACTTTTTGCTATTGTGAACAAAGCTGCATTAAACATGGGTGTGCGTATATCTGCTTAGGTAACCATTATGGTTTTTTAGGGTATATTCCCAGTAGTGGAATTGCTGGTTCAAATGGTATTTCTGTTTGCAACTTTTTGAGAAAATGCATGAAGACTTCCATAGTGGTTGCACCATTTTACACTTCTACCAACAGTGAATAACGGTTCCAGTTTCTTCTCAACCTCGTCAGCATTTGATGTTTGCTATTCTGTTAAATTTTGCTATTCTGACTGGAGTGAGAAGATACCGCATAGTTGTTTTGAAGAATTGTTTTCTGTGAAATGAATTTTTATAATAGTGTACTAATATTGCTTTTATTTTCTTCTTTCAGAGTGGAAATATGCCTTGAAGTAGGTTCAGGATCTGGAGTGGTATCAGCATTCCTTGCCTCAATGATAGGTCCTCAGGCATTGTACATGTAAGTGTAACTATAGTCTTCCAGTGAGAATTCACTATGAATGTGACTGTTGAAAGAAATAATTTTTGTATGTAGAAAATATGTATCTACAGTTGTTGTTATGTGCTAGCTGAATGACTTAAAGCTGACCTGATAGCAGGTTTGTTGTTGTTGTTGTTGTT